GCCTCGTCACTGTTTTTTCCACCGATGCACAACCTGTAGCCGCACCGATGTTGCATCTTCTCCTGCAACAGTTGGAATGATGTTTGTGCGGCTGGCACCGCGGGGCGCGAGGGGGACGCAGTATAAGGATGATGCATGGCAGATCGCTGTCAGATGCTCTCATTTTCTCCCCTAGTGTAGAAATCCTTCTGCGTTCCCCTCGGCCGATGCTGCGACTAAGTGGTTGTGACAAGCTTATGGCTCCTGGTGCGACGGCGGCATGATGGGAATCACAGCAACACTGACGCATGCTCACTTTGTGGACGTCTGGACTCTCACCACTGAGCTGAAATATGATTTTTGTGTGTTCAGGTTCTTTGTTTTGAATTTGTGAAATATTGTTTCTGTTTGTAACTGAAGCATGTGCTGAGTTTTTGAAAGCAGTTTTTCTTCTTTATTTTAACCGGGGTTTCGATCGGCCAGTTGTTGGATCTCTTGAGCCACGTAAGCCAGGATCTCTGCATGGGCTTACTGTGGTGATTTCCTCGTGGTGGGTGTGTGTGTGTGAGTCAGCTCCTGCATGACAGATGAGGCTATCTGGACCCTTTCTAGTTCTGTGTTCTCAGTTCTGCTGCAGTGTGGCTGACGATGAAAGACAGTCACCTGCATCCACTGGTTCAGCACGCTCCCTCCTCCGCCATCAGTCAGTCAGCAAGCTGAATGGAATCTGATGGAGCCACTTCACCCAGCATCAGGCAGCAGATCGTGTTGTCCCTGGTGTTTCTTTAACCCAATTCTGTGTTTCATCCAAGTTTTGCATGACAGCAGTTGCTCCTCTTAATCAGCGAGCAGTTTGTTTGTGTCTTCAGTTGTCACTTTGCATGTAGTCTGTTGTCTCCAGTGGAGGTGCTGGGCTGTATCAGGTCATCGGCTGCATGGTGGGCCAGCAGCTGGAGTCCGTCCAGTGTGTCTCCTTGTCCGTTTATGGTGCATGGGCTTGAAGAAAGGCCAGCGCAGGACGCACTGTGGGTTTGTGTTTAGACATTCTTTGGAGTGAGGAGAAGGAGCCGGACATTTCTATTTGAGGCGATGCTCTCTGGCAGTCCTCCTTCCTTGTCAATGTTGCTGCTGTAACAGATGCTTCAGAAACTCTGAAATACAGGCCTACGGTCGACCTCTGTTAGATATTGTACTGTTACTGTGTCTGACTCACTAGCATGAGTTTAGTTGATGATGGAGGCGTGGCCAGACTGAGGCAGCTGGATGCGGTTTCCTGCATGTTTCTCCTGGGCGGCTCTTTTGTGGAGTTAGTTGGTGATGGGATCTTATTTTGCTTGTTCACCTACTTCACGATGTCGGGGGCAATTTGAGTGGCTCTTGCTGCCACAGGACGTGAAGAGGCAAAGGAGCAATTAAACCCAATCGACCCAGAATAGTGGCTGGCGATATTCTGTCGTAATTATTATTGACGTGCTTTAAAAAAAAAACGTATGAAAAATACACCTCCAGTGTGAAAAGACCTTTCTTCTTGGTGCATGTCAGTGGGAGTTGGTTAGTCGTTCTGTCGTAGCTTAGCTGCCCATAGTGTGCATGTATAAGTTGAATAGAAAGAATTGTTGTGCTTAAAGTTACACTGTACTTCTCTTTATCTGGAGTGAAACTCTGCACTTTGAAGGAGTCAGTTTCCTGTGCACTCCCAGTGTTCCCATGTCAGTGGCCCAGCGACAGCTCCCTTTGTCTGTACCCGCTTCTCTATGAGCCCATCTCATCACCATTGCTTTTATATATAGAGGGGTGTGACACTGTTTCTTAGTAGCAGTCACAAACATACACACACCTCAGTGCATCTCCACCCATCCATCAGTCATAACATCTGTCTGCCACGGGTACTAACTGAACTCTGGACACTGTCTGCAGAATCCAGCCCGGACGTTGTCCAGAGTTTCACACACGTAGCGCACAACGGGAGATAGTCTGTGCCGGGCACATTCTCACCAGCTGGGTAAGCGAGCAGAGGTTTATTTATGTAGCAGTTTTCTAAAGCTAGCTCACAAAGTGCTTCGTAGCAGAATAAAATAAGAATAAAACTGGAACAAGAGACAAGTAACACAAAACAAAGTAAACACAAAAGAAAAAGGCAAATCACCACATAAAAATCTCAATAACATAGTAGACGGGCACACAGATGCCCTAGTCTGTGCCAGTGCTAAACACCTGGATAAATAAGCAGAGCGAGCAGGGGGCGGGGCAGGATGTCGTCACACAGCCAGTTTGGACTTTGGTCAAACAGTCTCTTGTCGTTCCCTGAATTTATCTGGTGATTCTGGTGTCGGCCTTTAACGACCAACGTTCCCTAATCCAGTCAGACATGGCGTCTTCTTACTAAATGACCCGATTTGTGCACGTGTGAAATACAGCTGCTTCCTGAGTGGTTGTGGCAGGCTGACCGGGGAACTGCCTCCCGTGCACATCGGGTAGTGTCACCTTCAGATGTTTGTATTCATCCACATTCCAGCACGTGCACTAGCCCACTGTGAATTCTCCTGACTATGACCCGCTCCGTTCACACATCGGCTCGCTCGGACTTTATGCAGACTTTGGACTAGATGGCTGACGGAGTAAATACTGTTTAGCGTCCGGGCCGACCGACTCAGGAGTTTGCGTTCTCACACACACGGTTGCGCTGCATGTCTGAAAAGGGCTTTGTAGACGTTGTAGACGTTGTAGGACGCCCTGCGAAAAGCATGACGGAACATCTCTCCAAACCGCAGGCACATGTGTGTAGTCACCTATGGCTTTTGTTCCGCCTCAGTACCTGGCTGTACAGGAAGTGCACTGGGGTCCCTGCGTGGTCTCATGTGCGCTGCTACTAACTTTGATCACACAATGACAAGTGCAGGCAGGTCACACACACAACAGTACTGCTTTTATCCACGGTAAGCACTTTGGATCTTCCTAATCTGTTTCTCATTTGGGGAGTTAAAGGAAATATGTAACTCAGTGAGATGTCGGCTGGTGAAATGAACTGTCCAGGTGAAGGTGTCTACAGACGGAGACCGCCAAGGCTCCCGTTCACCGACTGCTGCTCTGAAGTTGTGTGTTTGTGGTCGATCGGTGCCGGCTCCTCTGCAGCGCAGAGTTTTAGTCGACGTGAACGCAACAGCGCAGAGTAGATGAGGGGAGTGTGTGTGTGCATGCCGGAGGGGGGAGGCTGCAGTCACGCCGTCATCGCTGCATGGATGTGTGTGGGGAACAGGATGGTTCTGCATGCCTAACCATGTGCGCTCACAGCCTGCTCTGCTACGGGACACAGCTGGTCCTCGGCTCACCTCCATAAACACTGGGAACAGTTGGGATGATTTTATTCAGTTGCTCTTTTCCTGCTGTGAGATTTCGACCTGAGCACAAACTTGATTTGGATCCTTAATTGGCCTGAGGTGGAGGATTACCTTGTGTCCCCGTTTCCTAGATGCCCCCACCCCACCTCCAGTTGGATTTGGGACCAGAACGTTCTGTACCTGCATGATTTGCCTCTGAAAAGATTAATGAATGAAACGTGTGTGTGAAAATGTGGAGACGGTTGAAAGAAAAGGGGAAAGACAGTTTGCACTTTGTCCTTTCCAACCCTTTCCCTCCTTCTTTGTGTCGGCTCCGTTCTTCCTCTCCCTTATCCCATCATTTTGAATTGAATCTGTTTTTCCATTTGTCATCTGTTTTGTGTTGGGTTGTGTGTCTGCCGTTTGACTGTCCTTCACTATGCTCTTCTGTGGTGACTGGTGAAAGCACTGGACGTTATAGCCGCCCTCCTCTTGTGGCCCAACAGGAATGAGTCATTTCTCGCTACATTTAACCAAAATACCTCCGCCTGTCCTTTTGACTGGAGTAGACCGCATTAAAGCAGCCTTTTGCTCTTATGATGGAGGGTGGTGTGCGTTTGTATCTGCTCTTCTGACTTCTCCGTGGAGGTGTTCCAGCCTGCTGCAGTTTAGTCTCTAACTCCACTGTACGTTCAGTAGGCTAGGTTTCGGGGTCACGGCGAGGCTGCCCCGTGTCTCCAGACGCTCTTAGAGTCTCTTAGCACCTACCTGCCTGCCACTGGGAGCTCTGTGTAGCATCCTCTCCTCCTTTTCTTCCTCTGTCCTCTAACTCGTACATTCTGAGCTGTAACACTGGTTTGTATTTCACGTGGGGCAAAAAGAGGGAGGGGGCATAAAGAGGGAGGGGGCATTTAGGTTTCTTTTGTTACGAGGATAATTTGTTCCTTTATTTATTATATTTTTTCTGTTTCCCTGACGACTTCTGTGTGTTGTTGTCAGTCTCCACGGTAACCACTCGCTGTTTCTACGGCAACGGTAAGTTGTGTACAAACATCTATCACTGAACTGATCCCCTTCCCACCCCACCTGAAATGGGCATTAGACAAACTACATGTACAGTTGCATTTCTGTTAAAATGTGAGAAGCACGGGCCCACGCAGCGTGACGGCCCACAGAGCTGCTGGCGTTATGTAATGTTACAGTGCACCGCACAGTATCAGGGACACACAGACAGACGGACGCAGCATCTTTCAACAGATTGGCTCTTTCAGCAGTAATATCCTCTCCACATGCCCGCCCCCCCACCATGTCATTAACACCTCACTGGGAATGACCGAATGTAATCACCCTCCTCTGTGCAACAGCACGGCTGTCCACAGTCCATCCGATTAATGCTCGGCTGGACTCAGCGCAAACAGACTTCCACTACTCGATTAATAAAAATCAACAGAGATGACATGAAGCTTTGCTCCCTGTCGCTGCCTGCAGCTGCTTTGCGTGAATGCAGACCCCGAGCTGCAGGGCGGGTAACGCTGCGCTGGGTTTGAATCCCTTTACGTCATCGAGCTGCCTGCTTGTAGCATCGTGGACTCTGTCAGACATCAGCCAGCTGGTCAGGCTTTGAGCTAATTTTTAGTTTCACCCTTCAAAACCCAGAGATTTGATATTTAATAAATCATCCTTGTTCTATTAACACACTGAAACATTTTTAAAATGTCTGTGGAAGTAACCCCCCGCCAAAACATCGGAGGGTGCACCAACCACACTTCGAGCACCCTCCGATGTTTTGGCGGGGGTTTACTTCCCCGAGTGTCCCGTCCAAAAATACACAGTTTGAACTGTTGGGTGTATTATTGGGAGGACGGTCGGGCCCACGAGTCGAGTCTACTGATCCTTAAAGATACAAGTTAAGATGTATTCCTGTGGTATTTGTTATGATTCTGAGACCCAGTCAGTTTGAGGTACTGTGTTTGGAACCAGTAACCACGCAGAGCGGGTTTTACACAGAATAAACCTCTGGCTTGGAGTGAGCGTGCAGGCGCTCGCTCTTTAACGGGTCTACTTTAGAAATGTTGAACACGTGCTCAGCCGGCGTCCTGGCACGCTGTGCTGCAGACTGTTAATGGACGCCATGACACTCAAGTCTGTCTTCGCTGCCAAGAGGGAGACCGTCCAGAAGTGCACACCTAGACTCATGCACTTTTTCTGTCTTGCCAGTACAAATTGAACTGGAGCTGTTGCTACTCCACAGCAGCGTTTCATAAATCCATTACTGATACCTCGGTGATTTACCGAGTCAGGCTGCATGTTTAAACCCGTGGGAGAGGAGCCGCTTGTGTGGTGCAGCCTGTTCTAATCGAGTCGGCGCCAGGCTGCGTTTGTACTTAGGAGCAGCTGCTCATTGATCAGATCAGCCAGAGCTGTGTGACCACATGCATCGCTAAACCGACCTGGGGTTTACCTCGGTGTGTGTTTGGGTCTCTATTCTGCTGCCTTTTTGTGTTTCTCTTTTGGTTTGGTTTTCTTGTAGTGGACTGTCTGTGTATTAGTAGTTGTGGTAGTTGTAGTCGTAGTGTACTGGTCCCAGTTTGTGGTACGCAGTTCTAATGCCTGGCATAGTGTCTCGTGTTTATTTGATTTCTCTCCTTTTTTGGGAATGAGGACTGCTCTCTCCCCCCCTCTCTCCATCCTTTGGTGCTCTGTTTCCCAACCCACCACATAATGAGATTTGTAGGAGAATGGTCACCAAATCTAATTGCTTTATTTGAATGATGCACCTTGTTGTTTACGTTTTGCTCTAAACTGTACTTTTTCGTTGTTGCTGATGTAAACTTTCTCCCTTGATTTCTCTTTCTCTTCACCCCCTTTGCGTTCTCCTGTGTTTGTGTGTGGACCGGCTCCGTCTCTCCTGACCCGCATCCCTTCCCCCTAACGTCCCCGTCACACCTCTGTCTCGTATGTGTTCGATGTGGGAGTGCTGCGGTCGTTCTGAGTGGTCTCTATGCTGCATCCGATGCTTGCTGATTTCTTTATTTCTTTCTTTTACTTTGTTTATTGCTCACTCTTGGTCATGTGATGCACCCACATCTGGCTGTGTGTAATTTCTGCGACATATGATTGTTGATTTTGTCAGACAAATGTTTTTGCACCCTCTCTTTCTCTCCCTTGTTATTTTGAGCTATCTACTTGTAGGTCTATAAACCCCACCTGTTTGGTTTCATATGGAAATGTGACTGGGAGGGCAAAAGTGGGATGAGAGAGGCTGAATGTTTTCTTAATCATTAACTCTGAGAGATGTGCCTTCCATATTGGTCTCTGTTGATTTGCATGTCTTCCTGTCAACCACCAGTTTACCCAGTTCCATTAACTGCTCATGACACAAACACATGTACATTTACTGGACAAAGTAGCTGAGGCTAACGTCCTCGATGTCAGGAAGTGTTACTAGTCGGCACGACGCGTCCCGCAAATCTCACCGGTGCACAAAGATAAAAAGCTGATGTTAATGTAGTTGATTAACTCAGTTTACATTTCAAAATGTGACACACCCGCGGACAGTCGCGTCACATAGCTAGCCGGGTTGGCTAATTGAATCATTTTCCACTGACCTTGTCATTTGCAATGAGGGAAAATGAGTTAAAGCTCATTTCCATTTGAATGAAGCTTGACAGATAAAGAACATGACTCACTGAGGCGATGCAGCCCAGGCCTTAATGGTCTGCTAAATGGGAGTGCAGCGTGCACGCACTCCAGCGTCGTTCTTCAGTCTCTCCCCATCTTTGTCTCTCTCTCTCTCTCTCTCTCTCTCACACACACACCCTCTTCCCCCCATCCAGCCAAAAGGTCATTAATCTTTAGCTTACAACACGGCTTCAGCAGCACACTGGGGCAGTGTGGGTTATTACAGAGCTACAATCTCCTCCTCTTAAAGCCCATCAAAGGAAGATGAGGATAGATCAAGGGACTGGAGAATGAGCCTTTGAAGCTCAGAGAGGAGATTATCAGCCATCTTGGATTGAAAGGCCTCAGCATTAGACTGAAAGGTTGGCCAGCACATAGCGAACATGCACACGCATCTCAGAAGTCCACAGCACTGTCACCTGTGCATGCCAAAACAAAAGAAGGCTCCGTTTCCTGTGCTGTGTCCTGACCTCTCTGTGTAGTCACAGCAGCATAACCAGCGTTGCCCACGGCAACCATCATCAGAACTCACCTTTTAATTGCATGACGACTAAAAACCCCATTAAAACCCCTTAACCCATTAAGACTGGAGGCAACGTCTGCGTGTTTAACAGTCCACGCACACACACAGAAACACGGACACCAGCATGAACACACACACACACACACACACACACACACACACACACACACACACACACCAGTGAAAGAGTTCAGCTGGGTGCGTACAGTGTGTCACCAGCGACTCTCACTTAGGTTTGATCGTCTGTCATTGTGCAGACGTAGATTTATCGGACGAGTATGGATTTCAAACACGACACCAACAGAATACACCACCACACTGTCCCATCCATGTTGTCAGTGGGCCAGCAGTGAGCTGTAAGGCACGGCCGAGTGTGTTTTATTGATTCAAAGCGAGCTGCAGACACACACAGGTCCCAGCATCACAACAGCCGTGTCGAATAAAGCCCTACATGTATGTCAGCCTTGGCCCTGTGATGTAAGAATCAGTGCTGCCTTAGTTTCCTGTGTTGTTGTTTGACCGTTTGCTCCTCCATCCCCAGGTGAATAACGCCACCGCCAGGGTGATGACTAACAAGAAAATGGTCAGCCCCTACCCTAACGGAGAGGCTCTCACCACCCTGCCTTATGGTAACGACTGCACTGACTCACACTAACAATGAGCTGTGGCCTAATGGTCCCTAACTGTGCGCTCTGCTGCAGGCCACAGTGTGCACGGCCTTCAGCGGACCAGTTTATTTTAGTCCTATTATTTTAGCTTCCACCTACCAGGCATGATGTCAGCTCAACAGTCTGCAGGAATAAAAGGAGCCAGACCGAGGTGTCCTGACAAAGGTGGCTTTGAGAATCAGCCCCCTCTGTGCATTTGATTTGATTTGATTTGGATGAAATAAGCAGTTTGTTGAGATGAGCCCTGAAGTGAACACTTATTTTATGTGGATTCAACTATAGGATTATTGCAGTTGTGAACACTGTGCAATTTCTTTATAACTCATTGAATGTTAACTTAAAAACAACCGTATTTCGTCTTCAGATTGATTTATGATTTTTTTTTTATTTATGCACTTCCCCAGAAATGTAACTGCACATCAGGGCGATCCGTGATCGGTTGCACGGCGTTGGTCGTCCACGTCTCATAGTGGCTGCACCTGCACAGAAAACGTGCCCTCCTTCTCTTCTCCTTCCTCTTCTCCTTTTTGCGTTGCAGTAATTTCAGTAAAAGTAACTGCTGCTCAAAACCTGTTGCCTCCAACACCAGTTACTCAGTTTCAGTCGCCAGTGGGTGTGGTTTGCCTAAGAAACTGAAACGCAGTGGCACAGAAACCACACCACCACCACCCAGCGGTTTGGCTGCGCGATTGCAGCGCTACGCCGGCACACTGGTGCACAAGTATGAATGCTAATAATGGCTTCAGCCACGTGTGTAGATTCAGCGTAGAAGCATAAATCAGGCTTTAGTGTAATACAAAACTGTAGGTCACATAGCTGGTGTGCAGTAAACCTGAAGCCTCAGACCCGTCCACGTACACTAGTTCGATATAAATGTAAGTTGGAGCAGCAGCTGCTGTGTCTTGTTTCACTAAAGAGCTTGTTGTGTGCAGCCAGCAATTAGACCAGACCGTTTGTTGACTCTGCTCAGGTCATCCAGCATTCCTGTTACAGCTGTGCTCATTTGTACCATCTGTTTACAAGATGGCGCCCACCACCCTACGCTCAGGGTCTGTGCTCCTTGTCTCCATTGCTCCTGCAGTAAAGCTTGTCTTGCACAGGAGCCGTCTTATGACAACAGCCTGAAGCAGAAACATTTTTTAAAGAAGCGCTCGACTTCTCTGGTGTCTCCTTATCACACATTCATCCGTAAAACTGGTCTTTACGTATCCGGTGACCCATGAACAGTAACACCAGACTGAAGGCCGGTGGAGAAGGTTTAGCGAACCACCATGCTGCGGTGTGTTAAACTGTCCCTCCTTCTCTGTGTGACCATCAGCAGGGTGGAAGCTGAGTCCTATGGTGGGGGCCGTGTATGGACCAGAGCTCTACGCTGGTGAGGCCACGCTCCGTCTCCTTTGCCCACATCAGAAGACTTCTTACAACTAATATAATTTAACCTTAAACGACATGAACACAGACACTTTCAATGGTTGGATTATTCCGTTTTCTTCTACACTGTGGCTCCTGTGCTCCACCTGTTTCCTCACCCTCTCTTCCCTCCTCCTCCTCCAGTCCCAGGGTTTCCCTACCCCTCAGCAGCAGCAGCAGCAGCCACAACAGCAGCAGCAGCAGCGTTT